ACTAAGGTGTTTATACACAGTGAGCTAGTTGTTACTTTTTGTCCCAAGAATAAGTGAAAATGTGGGGAAATACATTGCTACACATTTATAGAGAAAATTTATTAGAAGCCCAAAAGGTCAAAACACAGTCATTGCAATGATTTCATTAAATATAACATTTGTGAAGAAGTTATAAAACCAGACTCATAATACCTAACAGCTGGTATAAGAGTATTCTAATTTTTGAAATTTGGAATGAATAATAACATGTTATCTTCCATGTTAAAAAAAATAACATGATGGCTTGCTGGATAAAGAGTGCTTATTACCTATATAACAAGCCTGACAGCAGTGTGTGCACACCTGTAACCCCAGATCTGTGATGAGCAGATAAAGGGGGTAATTGGGGCTTCCTGGATGCCATCTTAGTGAAGAGCTAGAGCTTCAGATTCCGAGAGAGAGAGACCCTGCCTCAAAGGAATAAGGTGAAAAGGACACCTGACACCCTCCTCTAGCCTTTGTGCGTGCACAGGCACACAGACCTATACACACATGCACGCATGCATACGTCACGAGGAATAAGGCTGATTCTCTCTCTCTCTCTGCTTATTATTTCCCCCCAATTCTTCAAAGTATGATGGCAAGGAAGATTTTGTGATAATGGTTCAGATTTGTCTGTCACTTATTCCAGGCACTTGCCCTCAGCAACCTCTGGAAACAGATGTTGTCATTAGACTATGTATTTTATTTATTTACTGTTTTTGTTTTTATTTTGAGACAAGGTCTCTCTGTGTAGCCCTGGCTGTCCTCTGTAGACCAGGCTGGCTTTGAACTCACAGAGATCTGTCTGTCTGTCTCTGCCTCTCAAGTGTTGGAATTAAAAGTGTGTGCCAGCACTGCCCGGCATGTCATTAGACCATGTATTAATTACTCTGCACTGAGACAAAGTGCCCAACAGAAGTGACTTAAGGGAGGCAGGATTTACCTTGGCTCACAGCTTGAGAAGGTACAGGTATAGTGGCTGAGTCATGATGGCAGGAGCATATGGCTAGGACTTTTTACATCTTAGTGGACCAGATAGATGGCAAGAAGGTTTGAGCCCCATCTAGGGTGGGCTGTAGCCCGCTTCCTCCAGGTAGAGACCACCTCTTTAAAATTCTACAATGTTCCAAAGCAGCACCACCATATGGGGACCCAAGTGTGCAGACACATGAGCCTGCGGGGGACACCCCACATTCTAGCCTGAACACCTACTTCACAGACAGAGGCTTTGAGTCTCAAGAGGTAAAGAAACCTGCACCTGACTAGACAGCTTGGTCAGTGGTGAAGTCTATCAAAGGAAGTCCAAGTGCATCCTCAACACTCCTATGCATATGGAATGTATGGTACCTTAAAGAGACGTGCTGTGTACATTCAAGTGGGACCTGTGCAGCTGGTTTGGGGTGCTCCTCATTTGAAACCGGGAGGTGTTCTGTTTCAAGACCCCCTTTTTGGATCACCCTGCAATTGAAATGAAGTCAGTTTGTTATTGAAGTCAGTTTTTCCATCTTTGTGGAAACAAACCCACATATGAACTCACAACAGATATGTCTAAACTAGTCACGGGGGGACAGTGGTTTGGGTGTTTTGTGGTTTTGCTTGGTGGCGTTATTGTTGTCTTAAGTGCTCAGATTTAGGCATTAGACAGATCCCAGTCCAAATCCTTTGGACATTCCAATTCCAAGGGCATCTGTTTCACAACTGTAGACTAAGAGCAGTGGTGTGAACCTTGAAGGTTGCAAGGAGGAATAGATGAGGTTCCTTATATAAAATGGTGGGAGTTGATTCCCGCCCAATACCTGCTTCTTCCTTCCCTATTTTATCTTAGCTTACCCGATACAACTCTGAATATAGAATGAGGTGTGTTTCTTTTTCTTTCTTTCTTTCTTTTTTTCTTTCTTTCTTTCTTCCTTTCTTTTTTTGTTTTTTATTTTGCGAGACAGGGTTTCTCTGTGTAGCTTTGGAGCCTGTCCTGGCACTCGCTCTGGAGACCAGGCTGGCCTTGAACTCACAGAGATCTGCCTGCCTCTGCCTCCCAGGTGCTGGGATTAAAGGCGTGCACCACCAACGCCTGGCTGAGGTGTGTTTCTATGTCTTGTAAATCTTTCACACAGCTTACTGAAGTAAACAGAAAATTAATCAAAGGTGGTGAATTCTCAGTACTCCAACATGGGTGGATATAAGTTGAAGTAAGAGGGAATGGCCCTGCTAGGAATGGGAGCAAAGAGCAGCCTCTCTGCCATGCTTCTGAACACACTCTTAGTAGTTCTACAAAGCAGTAAGACAGTTCACAAAAGGAAGAGGCCTCCTCAGCCTTTAGTCTGTTCACATTTAGCATTGCTGACATTGGAGACAAGAAACAAGGTAGTCCTCAGCTACATTCATATGTGTATTTTGGTTAGATCCATAGTGGGAAAAGTGTGTGTTTGTGTGTGTGTGTGTGTGTGTGTGTGTAAATAGAAATAAAATTCTAGTTTGCAAATATATCTCCATGTGTATTCATGTATAGTATATAATAGTCCCTCCTAATCTATGTATTTATATATAGCTTTCACTTCTCTGGTTTTAATTTTTAATTATCTAGTATCAGTCAAGTTCTGAAAATATTAAATAGGAAGTTCCAGAAAGAAAGATTTAATAGCGAATAAATGAATTAATGATTATTAATTATTGAATAATATTTAATATTTGGGTATATTGCTTTAATTGTTCTGTTTCATTACTACTAATCTTGCTAGTCTCTTACTGTGTCAAACTTATTAGTTGAATTTTTAGCACAGATACGTATATGTTGGTAAAAGCATATTATCCTTGGCCTTCACTGCCAGTGGCTTCAGGTAATCACTAGGGGTAACCCTACACGTTGAGCCATAGAGAAGAGAAGGCTGTGATGTCTCAGGGTTAGATGCAGTGGCCGTCACCAAGATGCCTTGATGTATCCTTGGTACAGGACTCTTTTTAACAAGGTTGAACAGGAGGAGACAGGAGTTTGGGGTGTGGAGAGCACTCTAGATAGGAGTCCTCACTGCATTAGAGAAGGCTGAAGCATCATTCCCTAAAGTGACCTGCACTAGTGAACACTCATCATCTACTAGGCTCCAAGCTTTTATTCTGCCCTCGTCTCTCTTCTTGATATATTTCTTCTTATTCATTTCAAAACAGGGGTTTCACTATGTGGTCTAGGTTGGCCGGGAATTCAGTCTGCTTACCTCAGTCTCCCAGGTACATCTATAATATATAAGTTGAACATTTAGAACTGTATTCTTTGGGCCAAGTATGGTGGCACACACCTTTTAATCCTAACATGTGGGAGGCAGAGGTAGGCAGAGCTCTGTAAGTTTGAGGCCAGCATATTCTACATAGTAAATCCATGCCAGCCAGAGATATATAGTAACACCCTGTCTCAAAAACCAAAAGTATACCTTAAACATAATGGGTTATTATAAAGTTATTTTTTTGTTGTTAATATTCAGGTCAAGTTTTCTCCACCCTGCCCCGGCCCTGTATTTTTAAGCAATATTGTTAAGTACATAAACACTGGAGTGGCTCTCACAAAACATAGGAAGCAGTCATAGACACTAGAACCTGAAGTGCTCCCTTTATGCTTGTGGTGGTTTGGATGATAGTGCCCCCAAAAGCTCATTTGTTTAAAAACTTGGTCCTTGGTGCAACTGTTTGGGAAGGACTGGAAGGTGTAGCCTTGTTGGGGGAGGTGTGTCACTGCCAGCAAGTTTTGAGGTTCTCAAAGCCAAGTGTACCCTCTCTGCCTCTTGTTCGCAGATGCGGGCTCTCAGCCCTTCCTGCCTCCATGCCTTTGTTTCCCAAACAAAGATAAAGACCAGACACAGGCATCTTGTCACTTCAGGAGGGCTCTTAGTCCATGCTGGAAACTGGAGTCTCCGGTTTATTCTAGAATCCTCCTAAATCACTTTCCAACAGTCTGGGTGACTGCAGAGAGCATCTGCCATCAAATCATTCTTTTAACCCTAGTGGTACATCTAAAAACAGTCTCTAGGCACATAGACAAAGACCTCAGCACAGGTGCAACACATTCAGGGCCTAGGCCTGTTCTTTTTTTTAAAGACTTATTTATTTATTTACTTACTTACATATTTATTTATTATGTATACAGGGTTCTGCCTACATGCCTGCTGGCCAGAGACACATTCAGGGCCTAGGCCTGCTCTTTTTTTAAAAGATTTATTTATTTATTATGTATACAGGGTTCTGCCTACATGCCTGCTGGCCAGAAGAGGGCACCAGATCTCATAACGGATGGTTGTGAGCCACCATGTGGTTGCTGGGAATTGAACTCAGGACCTCTGGAAGAACAGTCAGTGCTCCTAACCTCTGAGCCATCTTTCCAGCCCCACCTAGGGTGGTTCTAATGCAAACTCGGAGACATTCTCCACTGAGGCCATGCAATCCTGCAGCAGGTAGCCAGCATCTGCAAGACAATGGAGGTTCAGACTCCAGAAAAATGGAGAAACTTTATAATAGATAATTTTGGTTCCCGACTGGTCATGATGTTTTGTCCCAGCAGTAGAATTATTGGGTTATTATAAATGCTATTCTGTTTCTGACAATAGAGTTCTTGAAAATGGAGGCTGTGGTCAACACCTGCCCTCTCTCTGGGTACATGAACTGTGATGTACAGTCAAAATAGGAAGATAAGATGTCCTAGTGTGGGGCTGGAGAGATGGCTCGACGGCTCAGTTGTTAAGAGCACTGACTGTTCTTCCAGAGGTCCTGAGTTCGATTCCCTGAAACCACATGGTGGCTCACAGCCACCTTTAATGAGATCTGGTGCCCTCTGCTGGCCTGCAGGCAGAAGACTGTATACATAATAAATCAATAAAATCTTAAAAAAAAAAAAGATATCCTACTGTAGCAAATCGCCTACTTTCCATGACCAGCGGTTGTGAAGCTCAGGGAGCAGTAACCGATGGACCGATTCCACCTGGCGTTTCCCTCTCTTACAGCACAGGTGTGCATTGGGATCGTGGTGATGTGGATCATATACAACTACTGGTTCCTTTACATCCCATATCTGACCTGGCTCTACATTGACTGGCGAACCCCAGAGCAAGGAGGCAGGAGATCCAACTGGGTCAGAAACTGGACTGTGTGGAGGTATTTTAAGGACTATTTCCCAATTCATGTGAGTAGAACTCTCCTCTAAAGTATTATTGTGAATTGGGAGAACAGTGGGAGTGTGATTTCATCTTGTGTGCCTCTACTTTACTCCTTCCCAGACAGGGTGCGCCTCAGTCCATTTTGTGTTCTTATAAAGCGGAGTGTGATTTCATCTTGTGTGCCTCTACTCCTTCCCAGACAGGGTGCGCCTCAGTCCATTTTGTGTTCTTATAAATGAATACCGGAGCTTCAGATCCATATAAAGTAAATTTATTTCTCACAGTTCTGAAATCCAGGGTTGGGGGTTGGGGGGTCCCAATATTAATATTCCAATATTCAACCTCTTTCATCTTGCCCCCATGATCTTGTGGCAGATACAAAAGGCAGAGTAAGAGGGGGCCAGCTTGTCCTTTTAGGAAGAAACCATCCACACCAGCAGTAAGGGTGTTAGTCTCTCTACTCTCTTCCGCTCTCATGGTCTAACCCCCTCTCACGAGCCCTCGAATCCTGCACCGTTGCATGGGAGAATATGTTATCCTTGTTTTGTGGTGATTGACAGGCCGATTCAAATCATCCCAGAGAAAGCTTGCACTTTGGTGCAAGTTAATAAGTGAGTCTTAAACCAGGTTGACAAAGTCTGGAAGGCTGAGTATGGGACCTGGGCTCAGTGAATAGTTTAGAAATGTCAAAATATCCCCAACCCAGGGAAGTCGGATGAATCATGTTCTTGTTTCCCACTGACAGAAGGGGTAGAGGGGAACCTCCTGCTTCCCACTAATGAGGGCCATTCCATGTCCTTATCTCAATGTAAACGTGCTGTAGCTCATCAAAACCCAGGAGCTGGATCCAAGGCACAATTATATATTCGGATTTCACCCTCATGGAATATTTGTACCCGGAGCCTTTGGAAATTTTTGCACAAATTGCTCAGACTTCAAGAAGCTGTTTCCTGGTTTTACGGCATATCTGCATGTGATCTCGTGCTGGTTCCGGTGCCCGCTCTTCCGAGAATATTTGTTGAGCTTGGGTAAGTGATACAGCCACTGTTCCCTCAGCATTTAGTGACATAGTGCTGTTCCCTCAGTTCAGCCACTGGCCCCATAGCATTCAGTCACTCAGCCACTGTTCCTCAGTGCAGCCACTGTTCCCACAGCATTCAGTAACATAGCTACTATTCCCACAGTGCTCAGTGATACAGCCACTGTTCCTATAGTGCTCTGGGGTGACAACAGGACCCACTTGATTTTATACTTCCTATACTCTGTGGTTCCTCACACCCACTCCTGCCTTCTCTTTTTAAGTTCATCCCAGGTGTTTCCTTTTCTGATAGCAACACAGGAATTTTCAACAAACACTAATCCAGTGGAACAATAAATTGGTGAATGCAGTAAGTATATTCAAATATGGAAAAATAGTCCTGGATCAAATAAGTGAAAATCATATTTTGGAGAGGCACTTTGTATACGTTTATGGATGTTAGAACTGGAAAATGTCTTGCAGTAGCGATAGTGACATAAACTACTCAATTGCTGGCTTTGGCAGCCTAGCTTTATGTGTACCTCCCGGGGCTGTGAATGTTGTCAGTAGTACTGTGTTCATCTAGCATGAACATGGCCTGGTTCTACCCCCAGATCTGTAATGAAAGAAAAGAAAGGAGAGAGGATGGAAGGGAAGAAGGGAGGGGAGAGGAGAGGAGGGATGGCGAGGGAAAGGGAGAGGAGAGGAGGGAAGGGAAGGGAAGAAATAAAAGTCACCCCTCAATAGCCTGGTCCAGAACAGCCAGCACTACACAGACAAACCCCGTTTCACAAAAAAGAAAGAAAGGAAGAAAGAAAGAAAGAAAGAAAGAAAGAAAGAAAGAGGCAAAAAAGTAAACCCCTCTGCAATTCTACTACTTGATTTGGTTTGGTTTTGTTGTGGTTTGCTTTTTTGAGACAGAACCTCACTCTATAGCCCAGGCTGGCCTTCTGGCCCTGAATTCCTGACAGTACTGCTGCTAACTCTCAAATTCCGAGATTGTAGGTGTGTGCACTGTTCCTGTGAGTCAATGGAATACTCTTTAATCACTGATTCTGAGAGCAGATCCAGCCGGAAATGCTTCAGGAATGCTATGTAAACATATAAAGAAGCCTAGGCTCATGCCAACATCCTTCATTCAGTTCTAGAGACTCTAGTTGCTTTTCCAGCCTGATTGGATTTTTGACTGTGTACTTCAGTAGCTTACAGAATATTTTACAGTTGTCAAAATTACGTAGGGTGGTTATAATTACCTTTGCAGCTCCTGAGTATAAAGATAGCCTTTTTAGAAAAAGTATAACCTCAGTATCTATTAGTGACTTAGTTAGGGAAAGATTTTCCATTGCCTTCCAGGTAGTCACGGCTTCCTATATAGTCACTTCTGTCATTATATATCAGTTTGGAAGTCATTACAATACAGAGCACTAGGATCTGTGCTAGCTTTGCAGGGACTGTGCCTATTTGTGGCCTCAAAAGCCGAACTCAGTCCCGTGAGTGCTGCAGGGCACACTAGAGGGCGCCCTATCCACCAAACTACTGCATGATCTACCATATGGCCTCTAGAGGGCACTCTAACACACACACACACACACACACACACACACACAAAGAAAATTATGTTTTTCTTCTTGTGTGGTAGACATTGGGTTATTTTTATAAAAGGAACAAAATTAAGGATAAATTTCCAATTTCAATTTCGAAAAGGTCACAGAAATAGATTTTAAATTTACTTTTTGCTGATTCAAAATATAATCACCAGTAAATCTGGGTACTTGAGAACAGGTGTGACAGAGACAGCCAGGCATTCGGCTCTCCATCATCAGACACAGTCTCAGAGTCTTTCTTAATATAGTGATCACAGCCATTCCTGTTTGCTAGAGTTAGTACTGATCTAACTAATTTGTGTATTCTATGTCATCATTGTCCTGATTATTTATCTTTTGAGACAGGGTTTTTCTGTAGCCATGGCTGCCCTAGCACTTGCTGTGTAGACCAGACTGGCCTTGAACTCACTGAGAGTCACCTGCTTAGGTGTGCGCCACCACACTGACCATTATTGGTGTATAGTATCACAAAATGGTTCCTTTTGCTGCAGCCTTCATGTCTTGAAAGCTAAATGGGAGGCAGAGGCAGGACAGAGAAACCTCTGTTTACACAGTGCTCTCGTGGTAGAAACCCAGAAGGGAACAATGTTTGATAGTGTACCAAGACTTCGTGTTTGATTTGTCTTCAGGTCGGCAGCAGCTGTATATATCAATATTATCAGTATCTGATATTATGAGCAGGTGTTCAATAAAGGAGATTTGCACAACAGATTGATATTTCAACATGGATGACTGAATGGGTGACGGAATCTTCTGTCTTGATCGTTAATGTTAGGACAGGTACATGCTCTGAAGAATAACTTGATATGTTAGGTTTGGAGACATGAACTTGAGGTGTCTTTGAGCTGTCAAAGTGGAGACTTCCATTGGGCCATTGGCGATGTGACCCTGGAAGCTGAAGGATATATTCCGGGAGATGAGTTTCACAGAACTCAGCTCACATAAGTGGTGGTTAAGTTCATGGATGTAGAAGACAATCAAAATAATGCAGGAGCTCTTAGAAATAGTAGTTTACAGAGTAGGCTGGAAGTGGAGCCTAGCAGGGCACAGGAAGTGGCCAGAAGAGAGCTAGAAGGGTCATGTGTCAAGACCCAGGGGGCTGTCTTTACAGAGAAGAGAGGCCTCATTTCTCACTTGGGTTACTCTAAGCTAAATGACATGTCTTGAACTCAGGGAAAGTTCAGGGACATCCACACAAGGTCATATTCTTTCACCCTCTCACCCATCAGGGCCTGCCTTTTCTCTCAAGGGCCGGTCAAAGCCAATGCGACATGTAACCCAACACATTGGAAGCTGAGGTGCAATGATCGCCATGAGTTTGATTTGAGCTTAGGCTAGTGAGTTGAGGGCCAGCAAGTCTAGTGTGACCCTGCAGAGAAAAAGATAGACAGAGACAGAGCAAATGAGTCATTCAGAACCTTATATTCTCTAATAGCAGGGAACCATAATAAAACCATCACTATTGCTGTAGAATATTATTTTAAAAAATAATTCTTCAGAAGCAATGGCTAGTTATAATTTCTATTTGTTTGACTAAGGGTCGGTTTCTGTTTCTAAGAAGAGCATATCCCATGTATTGAGCGAGGACAGAGGTGGGAACATTTCTGTCATTGTCCTTGGGGGTGCAAAGGAGACACTGGAGGCCCACCCAGGAACCTATAACCTATATATCCGCCAGCGCAAAGGATTTGTTAAGATTGCCTTGACTCATGGGTAAGTGTTTTTTGTTTTTGTTTTGTTGCTGTTGATGTTGTTTTTCCAGTTTTGTTGAAGACAGGGTCTTGTTACATAGCTTATGCTGGCCTGGAACTCATCATGTAGCTCAGGCTGACCTCAAACTTGTGGTGATCCTACTGCTAAGCCTGCCAAGTCCTGGGATTGCAGGTATGAGTCACCTTACCTGGCCTAGTTAAGTGGCTATTTGTTTAGGGTAAGTATATTTTAAAAGGATAAGACATTAAATGAGCACAAATAATAATAATAATTGTTCTAGTCCTTAAAGAACATTCTCCAAGCCAATGTTCCAATAAAGACAGGTGTATGGGTTCTTGGGAATGGAGGAGGAGCTTTCTGCCAAGGCAGCTGGAATGTCCCAGCATGCAGCAGTTAAAACAACAACAGTAGACATAAAATTGTACATATTTATTGTAAATTTACAACAAAATGAATAGAAGCCAATGAAAAGAAAAGCTTACCTCAAACTTGACTTTCTACAGAATAGAATTCTGACCATGGCTAGCTTGCTGAAGCACTTCCTAGAGATGTCAATACAGCTTGAAGTGTTTTGAAGTTTGTGCAGCTTTTGTGTTTCAAATGTGGATTGAATACAGCATGGGAAGGGTTGGATGCTATAGTAGTTACTTTTCTCATTGCTGAAAAAATGCCTGATTAAAGCAGTTTGGAGGGGGCTGGAGAGATGGCTCAGCAGTTAAGAACACTGGTGGCTCTTCCAAAGGACTCATTTTCAATTCCCAACACCCACATGGCAGCTGTATCTGTATTTCCAGTTTCAGGGTTTCTGACAACCTCACACAGACATACATACACTCAGGCAAAATACCGATGGACATAAAACAAAATAAATTGAAAGCAGATTGAGGAAGGAAGGATTTATTTGGGCTCCCTGTCTCAGGGGATACAGTCCATCTTTATAGGGAAGGCATTTTGGGAGCAAGAAGCTGCTGGTCATGTTGCACCCACAGTCTACAGGTAGAAAGCAATGAACTCAGCCCACTTTCTCAGCTCACTTTCTCCTTCCCCCCTCTTTATTCAATATAGGATCCCAGCCCATGGGATGTGACCACTCATACTCAGGGTTCATCTTCCTCTCTTCGTTTAAAACATTTCCAGAAACACCTTCACAGACACACCCAGAGATATGTCTCCTAGGGGGTTCTAAATCCAGCCAAGTTGACCATGAAGATTCAATGTCACTGGCACATTTACAATTTGGGAGGTTTTCTTGAAAGTAAATTATTTAAATTCATATCCTTGAGGCTAGAGAGATTCAATGGCTCAACTTTAGACAGTGCAATTATGAAGACTGGAGTTTTGATCTCAGCACCCACAAAACAAGCCAGGCATCCTGCAAACACACATGGCCCCAGCCCTGAGGGAGAGACACTTTCTTTCAGCCTCTAAGCATGTACACGTGTGTGCACTTGCCAACACATTTGTGCACATACTTACACAAACAGCCGAGCAAACATTTGGCATCAATTTGTAAAATCTGTGTCCTTCCTTTCTGTTACTTCAGGGCCAGTTTGGTCCCAGTGTTTTCTTTTGGTGAAAATGAACTTTTTGAACAAGTTAGCAACCCTGAAGGCTCGTGGCTTCGAACCGCACAAGATAGACTGCAGAAATTAACGGGGTTTGCCTTGCCACTGTTCTATGGCAGAGGAATTTTCCAGTACAACTTTGGTATAATGCCCTATCGGAAACCGATCCACGCCATTGGTATGTACATAAAATAAATAAAATTATCTTACCCCGTACACTGTTTACTGTTATTGTCTAGGTGCTAATCATTCAAAAGAAGTAACCTTGAGCTTGGGCTTCCTAATATCTTAGACCAGTGGTTCTCAACTTTCCTAATGCTGTGGCCCCCTTAATACAGTTCCTCATATTATGGTGAGCCCTAACCATGAGATTATTTTCCTTGCTACTTCATAACTAATTTTACTACTGCTACGAACCATAATGCAAATATCTGTGTTTTGCGATGGCCTCAGTTGACCCAAGTGAGAGGGTCGATCAGCCCCCGAAAGGGGTCTCACACGACCCATGGGTTGAGAACCACTCTTAGACCTTAACTGAATTTAACCATGGTATGCTCATCTAATGAACTGTCTCTATTTCACATTTGTGTAGGTGTTGGTTACCTTGGGTAATTCCACTGTTGAAGTAGAATCCAAGTTTAGACGTGAAGTCTCTAGTGCTCCTTAGTGAACCTGTTTCTCTGTTCTTGCCTATAGCACAATGGTTGACTGATAGACAAAACACCTCGGAGGCTAACAGCCACATACCCCCCACCATCAGTTTCTTCCTAAAAGCATGCTTTGTGCCACTACCTATGCTTGTATATGCTCTGTATCAAATTTATAAAAGGCTTGTGTTTGAATGACTAGAGATGGGGAGAAGAGATGGAAAAGAAGGAGGCAGAGCCCAGCTCATGCTGTTCCTGTAGTGTCACCTGCTTAGGGACCCAGGGTCAAGGCCAGCCTGAGCAACACCCAAAGCGGTCTCAAAAAGAAAACAAATAAATAAGTGGTAGAAGTGAAATGATTTCCTTCTGAGGCTTGGAAGAGACGGGGAAGTTGAAAATAAGAAAATCCTGAACCATGAAGAGTTACCCAGAGCTTTGCATTTTATATGGAATGGAAATAATATTTTTGCCACCATAACTAGTAACTAAAATCTGAATACAGCGACTTTTAAAAAAAAATATTAGTTTCCCTGGAAGATGATTTCCTTCATTTCTTCTTCTCCTCTTCCCCCCTCCTCCCCTTTCTTTTTCATAACAGAGTCTCAAGTAGCCCAGGCTAGCCTGGAACTCACTATGTAGCCATGTGATCTTGAACTTCTAATCCTTCTGCCTCCACAGGAACCCCTTCTGCTAGGAGTATACACATAGCATTTTCTGCTGTCGGTTTGTATGAGCTTTGCAATTCAGATGTAGTCACACGGTGCTATTTTTAGCTGCCATATTTGACTCAGATGGAATGCAGCAGCCTGTTGGTTAGTTACTAGGGGAACACAGAGATGCTTTTCAGAGTACAACTGTACTTTCATGGTCCACTGGCTCATTTCTTTGGCATCATATCAGTTAATCACTTTTGTTCCCTTATGTTATGCTGTTGATCTGAGGGAGAGATACAAGTTATGAGTTGGGGAATAAGTTTAATTAGATGTAGTGCATATGCTCACATAAAATTGTGAATACTGAAAATAGAGGACATTCTATTGAGTTAAAGGATTGTTGTTATTATCTCATTGCATTAACTTTTTCTTTTAAGTCAAGTGGCTTCGGTATCAGTTGTAGTTAGATTGTGCCTTTCCTGACAAAGTCAGAGTCAAATGTGAGCTAGCTGTCAAGATGCTTTCACTCACAGTGTGCACGGTGCTTCTTTGGAAGACTCAAAATGAGGGGACATTCCCTTGACATATCCCCCTGCTTACTCCCCAGGGTTCTGAGTCTACGGTATCTCCAGCGGCCTGTTATTTTTTGAAACCTTTAAGTGAAGATAATAATATGAACATTTCATAAAGGCCCAGTTGTCATAATCGTAGGACAACAGAGGGGGAGTCAAAAATTCAAACAGCCTGACTTGTGGGAACCAGACCAAGCATAGGCCTGTAATCCAAATTCATAGGGATTCATACAGCTGAGGCAGGAAAATCACAAGTTCAAAGCTGGCCTGGGCTGCAAAGTGAGTTCAAGGCCAGCCTGGACATAAGCTACATGGCTAGATAGATTCTATGTAGCTTAGTGGTAGAGGACTCACCTAGCATGTGAAAGACAGATTCAGTTCCCAGTAATGCAAGAAGGAAGGACAAAAAAGAGGGAGGGAAGGAAGAAGAAAGAAATAAGGAGGAAGGGAGGGAGGGAGGCGTGGGTTCTTGGTAGGCATGTCACAGTGACTTGTGGCTAACACAGCCCCAGCTGTACACAGATTGATATTGGTAAAGAATCCTCATCAGGCATCATTTGGATAGGTTGAGGGAGTGGTGAGGTTTGAAGTCTGACTCTGAGTTACTGTGTTTCCTTTTCTCACGGCTTAGGTTTTTCAGTTCTAAGAGAGAAGGTACGTGTAACTGGCCTATCTTCTCTTGCCCTTCTCCAGGGATCACATGTCACGATGTGTGTAGAGCCGTGCCACCCCAGTGCTGGGAGCGGGAGGCAGATGCACAGGGCACTCAGAGCCTTCCTGACCAGTTTGCTGAGAGTTTCGGGTGTGTTGAGCTTTCCTTGAGCAGGGATTCCTGCCAAAGTGTTAACCTGAATCAAAGTGTGAGGAAATAGACAAATGGTTCATAAAAAAAAAAAAAGTCTCAGTGTCTGGAATAACAGAGAGGAAGAGACACTCAGAAGAAACACACAGCTGTCCCGGGTTAGAGAAGCAGATGCAAACATGGCTAATGAAGCCGTTGGCAGAGTTTTGGATGTGGATTATGTGTAAAATGTCGCATGATGGCACGTCTCCGTGGGTGTGCTCGTGACGATGTGTAGGATACTGTTCTCCTTCTTAGAAAATAAAATAGTCAGGGATGATTCACGTGACTGAGTTAGTGCCATCCATGCTGTACTTTCAGATGCTGTCAGAGATTAAAAAGCAGGCCTGGCATAGTGCTGCATGTCTACAGTCCCAGCATTTGGGGGGCAGAGGCAGGGAGATTGTTTCACGTTTAAGGCTAGCCAGGGCTACATATAAGATCCTGCCTCAAAACCAGACAAATGAACAAACAAACAAAAGCCAATACTTGGTTGGTAGAATGCTTGTCTAGCAAGCACAAAGCTTAGATCTAATTACCAGCATAAAACGGGTAGAGTGGGTAAATACCTGTAATCCCAGCACTTGGAAGCTAGAAGCAAGAGGATCCAAAGTTGATGGCCATTCTCTGCTACATAATGAGTTCAAGGCCAGCCTAGGCCAAATGAGACCTTGTCTCAAAAGAAGTTAAAAAAGATAATAATCCCTATATATGTTAATATGTTTATTCATACAAAGCACACATGAATGGTTGAAAGTAGATAGGGGATGTGATGCAAGTGCTCATGGTATCCTTGATATTTTAAATAAAAAAGATAAGGAAACAGGTTTTATTTTAATTCCAATCCACCATATACTGGTCGGGGAAGCACAGGCTAAGTAAGGAATTCCTGAAATTGAAGGAAAGGAAGGGAATGCAATTTGTTTCACTTGTAAAACAGGAGAGATTAAGAGAGAGAATGATGACCTGAGGATGAATGCAGAGAAGGTAAAACTCTCCCTCTGTGGTTTTAGCATTTCCAGCAGGGCCCAAGCTCTCACTGGTGGGAGCCAGTGAGAAAAGTACTCAGACTTCCCATGTGTGAAGGAGCCCCACGGAAGAAAAGGACTCAGAAGTGGATAGGGGACAGGTAGTGGATAGGTAGTTATGGAAAAGTAGATAAAGTGTACTAAACACAGAGACTAAGGACAGGAAAGAGGCTAAGGACAGCGGTGGTGGCTCACACCTTTAATCCCAGCACTTGGGAGGCAGAGGCAAGCAGATCTCTATGAGTTTGAGCCCAGCCTGGTCTACAGAGTGAGTTCCAGGACAGGCTCCAAAGCAACACAGAGAAACCCTGTATTGGAAAACCAAAAAAAAAAGAAGAAGAAAAAAAAAAAAACAGACAGTTGTTACAGGGTCTGCAGGCGCCTCTCTTGGCTAACTTTCCCTGTGTGATGAAAACACTATTTTTTCCTGGTACAACATACTAACTGCTCAATGAAGGTTTGTAAGCATATGTACCTCCATGCACACAGAGCACACAGAGCACACATATGCATGCATGCACATACATTGGCCATCCTTTGAGCATCCATCAGAGACTGGGTCTGAACTCGGTTCTTCCAGCTCCCAAGTTTCTCCACAACCCCACTTGCTCACATACTGCTCACCTGTTCTTTCTGGGGATCTTTCTACATGAGACCAGACTAGGAGAGTTTTGCCTGATGTGATGGCACAAGTTTGTAATCCCAATGCTTGAGAGACTGAGGCTGTTTGAGGCCTGCCTAGGCTGCTTAGTGAGTTCAAGGCCCACTTGCATACACAGAGGGACTGTGTCTAAAAGCAAAATAACCCATGCGGGTTCTGAACTCAATGGAATATTTCTAGCTACAGACAAACAGACTAAAGATGTTTTTATTTTGGGAGATCTATTCTTTACTTCCATGAGAAAAAAAATAGCATTTATTTCCATCACCTCCTGCTGCTGTCTGTACTAGCCCAGGAAACTCCTTGTCCTCTATCCTAAGTGCATATTGCACAACTGTAGCATAGGAGCAAGATAGGGATCCTTGATGCCATTGTCCCATGGGCTGGGCTTTTCCTATTCTCTATCCCAGATAAACTTAGCACCCCCCATAAAGATGAATAGGACTGCCATGGAAGGACACGGATGAGCAGCCAAACTCGAATTATTGCACAAAACCAAAAGCTGCAATATTGGAGCATGGCGGCTACAAGGTAATGAGAGCTTGGAACACACCGGGTGGGTTTTGTCCTCCATTTTTCTGAGACAGGGTCTCACTCTGTAGCCCAGGCTGGTTTGGATCTTGATCCTTTCTCATCTGTGAAGCAAAGGCAGTTGTGGTAACCTCCTGTCTTTGCTAGGGTTTCTATTGCGGTGATGAAACACCATGACGAAAAGGCAAATTGGGAAGAAAAGGGTTTATTTAGCTCACACTTCTAGATCATAGTCCTCCATTGGA